CTGATAATGAGACCTCAAACAGTTGCTACAGGCCTTAAATACCTGGAGCATCTGTGGCTTGACAAAACAAGACAAGACACAGACATCAAGACGTCACCTGGATGTCAGCCCAGACTCTCTGTTCAAGTTTTCTTAGTTAAATTACCGTTTTGCATGCAAACCACTCAAATAGTCCAAGTCTACAGACTTTACAATAGATTTCAGAATAGAAGATCTGGCGAATCTAGGAGTCAAACACACAGTGGCTTTATTAACACAAACACGTGAATCGTGCACGCTGAAGCGGTTTGAAAGCTGCATTTGCAGTCCAACATAAACAGCACCAGCAGAATATCCTTGCTTTTGACTGACATATAAGCATTGCTTTGATTGACAGGCTGTATTTTTCAGGGCTTGGGTCTTGGCGTGGCAGAAGGTTGCAGTAATACCATCCTCCTGCCCACAGTCTGTGCTTCATACTCACTGACGCACTGTCTGCCTTATTGCGGCTGAGTAATGTCAGGTGCTGATAGTGAGCGTCTACTCCTCCAGGTCTGTGCTGACGCTGCGTTCTGACGGAATGTTGGAATCGTGTCCTGGGATTTACGTCGGGGGAGGAGGAGGTCACCACCGTCACTGAGAGACCTCAGACAACAGTGCTGTGTCACTAACAAGATCCAGATTTGAGACAGATGGCTTTTTAAATTAAAGGAAGCAACAACAAGAACAAAAAACTGTGAGCAGATAAGAAATGGAATTTAAATTTAGCATAATGGAAAACTGCAGCTCCTCCACTGTAATATAAAATAACAACGATGATCAAAATAATAAATTTTTCTTGAGCAGAAAATCTGCATATTAGAATGATTTCTGAAAGATCATGTGACTCAAGATGCCGATTTTTTTTAAAATATTGCTGCTTTACTGTTTGTGTAACTTTGTTTTGCTTTTTGCTGTTTAGTTACCTTTTCTATTATTTGATTAGTTTGACTCAGGTGTGTCTTGTTTTCTTGGTCAGTTGGCTTTGGTATTTATGCTCTGTTTCTTTCAGTTGAATGTTTGTTCAAGTTGCGTTTTAACCGGTTGTTCTGGTATTGATTTTTTGTGTTTTATGTTTAGTGATTTGTTTGAGTAAAGGTAAGTTTACTGCTGCACCTGTAGATCCTCAATCCTCACCATTGTTGCAACTGATTGTGACAGTTTGATCAAATAAATGTTGCCTAAGCACAAGAGACGTCATAAACACTATAAGATGTTAAAGACATCGAAGTTTTCAATGACAGACAGTGTACAACCTGTTTCAAACTCGGAATATAGCTATTAGTCCTGTTTATGAGATATACATGTGTACGTTTGTTGATACGGTATTAGTTGTATCTGACAGGGCTTTCCAGCTCTTACACACTGAAATATTCCCTGCACTGATTGGAAAGAAAATTACCATCCCTCATCTGACACAATTTGCGCTTCTTATAAAAGCTCATGAATATTTTAAAGGTTCTGCTGACATAGGACATTCATCTTTGGAGAGCAAATGTCAACTTCGTTTTTTTTCATTTTCCAGAGAAAAGTGAGAGCACACCTCTCCTGTCATTAGACAAACAGTTCTGTGTATAAACAACGCATTCTCATGGCGTCATATAGTGACGCTTTTGACATCCAACGCACATGGCAACCTTTAGCGTCAATATAACACGCTATAGACTTGATGAGCATAAGAGACTTCTTTCATGGCATTTTTCTTTCTTTTTCTTGCTTCCATGAAAGTCATAAGCACTAAACAAAAACTGAATGTGAAGACGGGGATATTTTTTAGCCCCACAGTTACAGCCCTTATTTTCTGAGTTTTTTTTTTAACTCTTTATTCAGTACAGCTTATGGCGACTGCACTGGGGCATTGCCAATGTGTGCTCTGGGACCTCTTTTACACCAGGGCAAAGCTCCAGATTGATTGCTTCTGGACAGGGGCTTGAGGTCTCCTCAACACACCTCTCTCCAACCACTGATGGTCGCATCAATGGTGACAAAAAAAAAGCTTGGGAATCAAGGATGTTTGATATTATATTAGGGCTGCATGATATATCGCACGATATTGTTATGCGCATCTCGTCAGTAAAGCCAACCCGATCTCACGGGAATTCGTACGAATTGGTCGTGAGATAGGGTAGGTAAAGCCGGTTCCTTGATTAGTAAATCGTCACCTGCTTTCAGACGGAGAGGCATTTACTACAAAGAGCCGTAGTTCACTGACAAGCTGAGCCATATCTCGTTAAAATCGAGGACATATCGCCAATGATATTTAATACGATATGGCTCAGCTTGTCAGTTAACAACGGGTCTTCGTACACAGCAAAAACTCCAGTGTTAAATGAACACACCTTGTAGGCTATATGAGTCCGCACTCAAGAGTGTTAAAGTTAATGAGATAATTAAGTGATTAATTGAGTGATGATTGAGCATTATTGAAGACACCTAAAGCAGAATCACGAGAAAATCTAAATTTGTAAGCCACGGAGATGAGTGTTTGCCCAGCCGAAGAATCCCAACAGCAACTCCCCAGGAACTGGTAACACCGTGAGTTGAAGTTTCCATGTGTGGCTGCTAGTGTGGCGATCACACAAACTTTGTAAACATATACAGTATAATCTACAATCAAATCATTTCAGATTCTCCCCTGAAAATGTTGTATCCACAAGGAGGCAGCGTGATCTGAATGTGCAGGCTATGCATCTATCATACAGTTATAAATTTAGCAATATAATGTGAAGTCATTTACACAACTCACAGTGAATAAGAAAAAAAAAACATGATTATTTAAAATTTGGATATCAAGAAAAAGGATTAGCTCAACCATTTCAAGTGTAAAAAGGTTTGTCGGTTTAGTGAAATTAGCCATCAGAGCAACACAGCGGGACTCTGGGATCATAAAATAAAATAAGCACATCGGGGTCAGCATCTTTGTCTGAAATACTTTTCACAAGGCAGGCGAGCAACCTCTTATGACTTATTTAATAAAACCTAAATAAATAATCATCCTCGCTCTAAAACAAGTCTGCACCTTATCAGCAAAACCTCTACAGCAGGTTTGTCCAAGGAAAACACGCTATTTCCATATGTCTGATCTAGTTCCTCTCAATTATTTGATAAAGCAGCTGTTGTGTTACAGCATGAGGTGAGCCTCCTGCCTTTAAGCTCTGCAGGGACAGAATGAGAGAAATCAATGACAGCAAAACAAGTGATTAGGGACAAGGAAATAAGCAACATTTTCATGGTTTGGAAACGGTACAAGTCATGTCACCAACAAGTCACCAACACTGCATTCATTTCAGCCCCTCTGATATGCTGGTTTGATTTCGCTTCAAGGCAGTGAATGGGAAATGAGTGTTATAGCCTGCCATCATCTGGCACTGGCAGGAGTTGATATGTAGGCCTACAGGCTTTCAATTTCACAATTTCTTATTTTCAAACAAGCAAATGTAGGGTACAGTTGAAAAGAAAACCTCGCAAATCTCAAAATGAGCAAAAGGATCTGTTAGGTTATTTGCAGAAAAGCAAGATCAATATGCGTCCAAGTTAATGAATTTCAACTACTAATCTTGCTGTTCATTCGGCTATAGATCAACTCCCATTTAACACCAGGAACTGTTTTTGCCGTATTTCGAGTAAAACTTACACTGTAAAAAGGTCTGTAAAAATATGATACAATATATACTGTATAAATATGAATTTTGCTAGCATGACGAAACTTGGTGTATTTACTAGTTGCCATTTCAACACTATATAGAGAAAAAAATGGGCAAAAATTCCGAAATCTTTTTAAGATATCACTGAACATTTATTTAACCATAGCAAAATATCTTGCCTAAGTTAATTTTTTCATCTCTATTTTTTTGTGTTTATTTAAAATTAGACAAATCTGATATTGTTTTAATCTCCAATCCGTTGTTTAACAGTTGATATAGTTCTTTAATGCTTTGGTAACTAGCAGAAGACACTAGCAGGGTTTAAACAGTTGTGCAGTTGGTGCCTCTATAGAAATATGCTATTATATTCTATTATTTTATGAATTCTATTGAGAAAACAAGAGAAACATGTAAATAAAGACTGAGGGTCAATGTTCAGAAATTATTAATTAATATTTTGTTTTGAACTATGCTGTATATCTGTGTTTGAGTGTTTTTGTTGTCAAACTAAAAAATTAGTATATTTTTAATTATTAAAAAATGCCATTATTTTATATAAAAAGGTTAATAATTGTATTTTATGTTTTGGTTTGGCTTTGTATATTTTTTTGATTAGATCAGATAACATTTTAAGCTGTTATATGGTGATGTTAATGTGCCCCTCACATGTTACTATGTACCCTACCCATGGGGCATGTTGTCACAGTTCACTTCCATTCTTTCAGGGTAAATCAAGAAAAACGTATACACTGTATTAATAAAACAAAACCACATAATTGTACTAGACGTGGTAAATTAATGTGGGGAAAAAAAAGCTCTAAACCCCAAGTAGATTTACACAAATTAACAAAGTCAAAAAGTGTTATGTTATGCAATGTGCCCAGCTCTCACCCTAGTAGGCTTCATTTTTTGCTTTTATTTTGTTGTTGCAGTGTTTGATATCTATAATCTGCTCTTTCATCCATATATATTAAGAACAATGTTTTATTCGTTTATATTATTTTTCAGTTGGGAGTCGGACCAAGGCTATCTCACGACCAATTGACCTATGGCTAAGCCACGCCCCCTCCACTCACTCGGACACATGGCAGCTCAGCTGTCACAGTAGGAGACATTTCACAGGAGGCAATTGGTGATTTTTGGTGACAGAAAGATTATATACCATCTCGAAGTCAAAATCATATGCCTTTTTAAATTTTAGGTAGGGGGTCCCCGTCACAATGATGATCATATTTGACTGCGTGGCCCTGATGCACAGCACCCATGATGCGCGCACCCCTCAGCATCATCTAGTGGCTGGCGCGAGCATCGCTTTCGGATGAGAGAGAGAGACAGAAAGAGAGAGATAGAGCAGCTGGAGCGCTTCACTATGGACCAGCACGGCCGCCGCGCTCTCTGACAGATCGTCTACATTCTAGTTTTGCTTGGACAACTCTCCAAACACACAGGTAGGCGAGCACAACACTGCCCGGGTGCAGATCTTTCGCATCACACATATTCATGATGGCACAATGAGGAATAGCGCAGATCATCGTGGCTATCGTGGATACGGGTGCGTGCACGCGCTCTTTCCTCCAGAGCCTATGGCAGAAATGGGTCTCCCCGTGGAAATGATGATGACAGGGGTGTGTGCTGAACAACAAAGCCGACAAAATACTCGGTTAGGATGCGTAAAATGCGCGGAAAGGTCATTCATAGGATCCTATGGATCGGAAGATGCTCGTGCAGTCGTATAGTGAGGTGAAGCGTTTGCAGACGCATTTTATGGATTGGATATAATGATTCAAAGGCGATGTTGTGTGCAGAAATGTTCAGTTTTTTATGCAAAATTTAATAGTGAAAAGACATCAGATTCATAGTATTGAGAAACCTACAAAGAGCAGAGCGCTCCTGAAAGGGTTAATGCTTGAAAGATGCTGAAGTAGGTTATTTGAGCTAGTCATCCTGAGCATGCATGAAGTTATCAGCCAAACCCCATCATTGGTTACTAAATATAGAATGAACGATTTATGGCAGAAACTGTTCAGAGATACTAAAATATATACATTTTCAAAAGATTTCATCTTGCATTAGCCATTGACTCATAGAAATAAAGGAAATAATAATGTTAGTGCCAGAGTTTGTGCAATTCTAGTTATTAAGTTTCCTTCCTGTCTCTTTTAAAAGTTGTGTAGTTATCTGAATCACATTTAGGATGTTACGGTATTTAGTTGTAATTGGGGCTAGTTGTCACAATAATTTTCTTAGTATCCCCCAGGCCCAGGGTGGTTTTATTTTTTGAAATTCAGTTTCTGAATTGGCACATGTAGAAAGATGCATTACATTTATCACATGCTGATGATGCATGTTGTAACAGTATGGGGTAAGTTGTCACTGTGAGAAGAATCTACCATTGAGTAACAAATTACAGATTGGCCTAACAGAATAGCCTTGGTTTAAAATGAAGTTTAAACATTTGGTTAAAATCTATCTCTAGGTAGCTGGACTCATGTTAAAGATATGGAATATAACCCTGGTCTACTTCTTTACCTTTTTAAACTTCAGTATGATCACATGTAATACACTGATGCTGAATGTTAAGAAAAAAATAATAACAACATTAGTTGGTTTGTAGAAGGGCAAGAACCGGATTGAAAATGGATTTTCATAATTTTTACATTCTTAGATACTTACTTAATGCCACAACCCTGATATTTTACAATTCAAATTTGTGTTAACCAAATTGCACCTGGCCTTATCTTCAGCATGTTGGACTATACTTCCTTCAAACAACACTATGAAGTTTAGCAGTGTAGCTAAAGTATTATGTTTTCTTCATGTAGGCCTACGTAAGCATTAGATCTTTGCAGATGTGCCCTCGACATCGTTTCTCTTGCCCACACACATCCAAATATAGATCCATACATCAACGGATAGGACCTTGTGGATCATGTTAAGTAGGCTGAAAATTATAGATACTCCCAGAAGAGGTGGAGCCCGTCAGAGCCTTTGCAATTGTCTAGATCTGTGCTACTATGGCATTCAGAAGCTCCAGTATGTATACCAATGGTTCTCAATCTCAAGTGGTGGCTTTGCGACTTACGACACCAATCTGTTCTGATATAGGGTCACTGAGATTCAAATTTTGAATGGGAAAACCCTTTAGGGCCCTATCATACACCTGACGCAATGTGGCGCGAAGCAAGTGTTTTTCCCCCATGACTCGAGGTTGCCAGATATGCTGCAGGATCCAACAGGAATGTAGGCTGCTACATGAAGCCTCCAATTGCAAGTTACGAGTCATACACAGCGAGTTTTTTTCCTGTTAATTATTTATTTCGGACTTTGTAACTAAATATTTCGGATTCATATCGAGTTTTTTTGGGGTTTCGCAACGTTATAATTTTTTTTATCTGATTCCGACACATTTGTATCTGCAACTTTGGTAACTAGAGAAGAGCTGGCAACCCGAATGCCACAACACTACTGAGTCTCAGCCCATTCTCACCCCCAAGGCGTCACTTAACTCAGTCATTCCCAAAGTCGGGGTCCCGACCCACACGTGGGTCGCGGGAGATTTTGTCTGGGTCGCCAAGTCGAGCACTATTTTTCAGTGTGTTGTAGGCTACTCTCTAGATATGGGCTATTCAATTGGCGGCCCGCGGGCCAAGTGCGGCCCGCCAATCATCTCCATACGGCCGAGGGCACCCCAACCTCCCTCTCCTCCTATTTTCTGGTGGTGCCGCGCGGCTAAATTTGGTTAGATATGCGCGTGGACGCAGTGGCGCGTGCAGCTGGATGACTATAGGCACGCACTGTGTGTGTACCATGAGCACTCCGACTGACCTGAGAGAAAAGTTTACAGTCCGAATATTTCAGCAGTTTTTATGTGTGTCCCGTATTTCTGTCGACTGAACCAGCGATAATAATCATTCGTTGGTTTGATTATTTCCTTTCCATGAATTGGCCATTGGCCAAACGCGCGTGCATAATGGTCTGAAACGATTCTGATTTTTTTCACCTGAAGCGGTTTCTCGGTAAGTAACAACAAATAGAGAACAAAATAGCGCTGGTTTCAGTCGTTTCACTAGTTTACTTTGAACTAGGCAGCACGGCCCAGTGGATAACGGAACGCAAAGCTTAAAGGAGTTGCGTTTACTCCCGGTCCCGGACACTATTATTAAACAACGTTGCGCGACATCCTTTAAGAAGCGTCGGACACGTACTCCTCTCTCTTACAAACCACACATCACTCAATGATTTTAACTAGTTTTAAATCGGATGAAACAGTCTTAACATTCCCAACACTACTGATGAGAAAAATAGAAGAAACATGAATAAAGTTAGAAGACTAAATGCCCTAATCACCCCCCTTACAAACATTTACCATGTAATAGCCTGAATGTAATAATTTACCATGGTTTGGGCATAAATGTGGAATATTTATATTGAATGCTATGTTATAGTCATTTATATTGCCTTAGATTTATTAGGGGGGGTAGAGGAATATGTATTTAATCGTGTGTGTAGTATTTTTTTTTTTGTGTGCCTGTTTAGGCATTTTTATGCAGTGGTAGTGAGCCATGCATGGTTACAAAGTCTCAGTGTCAGAATATTTTAATTTAAGCCTATAATAATTATTATAGTAAATTATGTACACTGTAACTATGAGAATATGAAAACAATGAGATGCCCTGTCAACTTTTCCTTTCTCATTTCACCTCTGCATATTGTCAACAACAGGTTAAACAAAAAAAGTGCTTTGTCAAATATCTGTATCTCTTTTAAATAGTTAACTGGAAGCTTAAAAAATGACCTTAAAAAAATGGTCATACATATTTTGTTAATGCATAAATTCTCTTCGTGATATATGAACTATATGGGCCTAATGTTTTTTGGGTCACAAGGATTTATCGACTTTAAAATGTGGGTCGCCAGAAAAAAAGTTTGGGAAACACTGACTTAACTGACGCCTTGGGAAGCATTTGGACATGCTTCAATATCTGACGCTTTAGGCGCCCTTTAGCGTCAGTTAGATGGATCGCGTGTACCCTACCCCTACCCCACACCTAAACGCGTCCTCTAACTGACGCTTTCCTTTAGCGTCAGTTAGATGACGCCGTAGGATCGCGTCATGTAAGTGACGCTAAAGGGCGCCTAAAACGTCAAATATTGAAGCATGGTCAAAGGTGACGCCTTGGGGTGAGAATGCGTTGCGAGTCTAGATCGGTACTGTAGATCGGTGGAGGGTGACGCATCAGAACAAAACACAACTTGACATCAACACCAGTTGAGGGCTGCGACTTCACTTTGTAAATGACAATATCCTGGCCGAACTACTGTTGTCAGTGATAGAAGTATTTGAAATGAACATGATTTCTTAATGTCTAGTGACAAATCAGGGAAAATTTATAATTAATCGAAATAAATGTCTTGCATACAGCTCCAAGCTCCATTCAGCTTTAAGATTGAAATTTGTAACCATGCTGGCGGCCCGAAAATTTTCACCTCCACAATGGTTGCATAGGTGCACTGGAACTATCCTTCCCAAAAAGCTGTCACGTTACGCTAAACAGAACCCAAGCACAGACAGTGTCTTTCACAAAACAAGGTTAATTTATTAGCAGGAAGCATAGACCCACGATGGGGCAAACCAACAGTAAGACAATAAATCAGAACTGGAACATGAACGGACAGATCAACAGTGTTGGGGAAGCTACTCTGAAACTGTAGTTTGACAAGCTACTCGTAAGTTAAAGTAGTTAAACTACAGTCAAGCTACTCTTTTGGAAAAGTAGTTAGCTACACTACAAGTTACTATCAAAAAGTTGCTAGCTACACTGAAACTACTTTTGCTTTTTTGAACAACGTATATTATTAATAACTGAATAAGTGTCTGAGGACAGAAGGGGACAACAATACTTTTTGAAATCATAATTTTATTGCATTGTTTTAAACACTAAATGTTTTACTTAAAACATGTAAAATATTTAGTGTTTAAAAGTTCAAAAAGTATTGTTTTGTTACACACAACACCCAAATATCTCAGAATGTTTGTCAAAAGTGCAAAATTGCAACAAATAGCCTACAACATTGCAAGAAAAAAAAGAAAGAAAAAGACATCCAACGTAAATTGCATGTAGAACATTTTCTCAAAAATACCGATTGAACTTGGACAAATTAGGCCATGGGTAATTAGCTTTAGTTGTTTCTCCATCCTCCAAATCTGCCGTCACATCTTACTCCATCATCATGTGTGTGTCAACAGACTTCTGTACGTCAGTGAACCGTTAGCCGCAAGATGCGTGATTAAACAGGTGGCGGTAATGGCAAAAAATGAGTTTGAAATCTAACAAGAAGAAGAATATCCTAGCATCGCGCTGATTCGCACAGGCTCGACAAACACAGTAGCCATGTTTCCATCGACACGTTTTTATCCGAATTAAGTGATATAGAATGAAAAAAGCCT